AGATAATGTGAATGAAAATTTCATGAAATATACGAGAAGAAATTATAGGAGATGGCTTATATGTTTGGGATTGAAATTTTTAAACCTAGAATAGTTTTCAGACAGTCCAATCAATCGCTTAAATATTGATGCATCTACGATTGAGGATTTTTATAAAATAAAAATTTTATTTACCTTGTTGATACATTTTTATTTAATTTAAATGAAAGATTTATTAGTCACAATTTTATTTTAAAAAGCTTTTATTTTCTTCTGCCAGTTGAGTCTGAATTGTTGATTACACTTGAAACGTGAGAGGATATTAAGTAAATCTCATTTTCATGATAAGTTAGTTTGTGATGTCGTATTTTGGTATAAAAATCTTGATAAAATAGAATACTTTTTGAGACCAAAAAATGCTTTGCAAGCCCTTTCCACGAGTAATTGCACTTTAAATTCTCTGCTTATTTTTATAAAAGTATTGCATTAGCAATATGAATTATTTATATTTTGATTCATTTGTATTAATTATAATTGTTAAATAATATATTTTTTTAAATACCGTACAAGAATTACTTATATTTTATAATAAATTTTTAATATAATAATCTGTATAAAATTTCTACATTTTGAAATTTTTTTATTGTATTTTATCATTAAAATAAATAAGGGTGTTATTTATACTATAGTATTTTAACAATAAATAAATCTATAATGAAATTCTATAAAATTTAATTAAAATAATTATTTTTAACACTCAATAAGATATATTGAGTGATGGTAAAAAATGGAAGGTTTGGGGGAAAAATTTTTTCTTCTTTCTACACTAGATGGATTAATTTACAATTTATTAAACAATGATAAAATTTTTAGAATAATGTTTCCAGCCGCTTATTAATCATAAATTTGGCCGAAATTCGGTTACTAATATTCTTTCATTTATGCCGGCTACTATAGTGTAGTGTTGTTAAACCGCTCGTTTTGAGCCGATTTTTAAAAACGGCTAACTCAATATTTTAGCAAGAAAAATATTGCCTAAGCCTTGGGATTTTGCTAATAGATGTTCAAACCTCTGTTCCTTCTACAAACAAAATATTCAGGCATGCTTAATATTATTCAGGATATAATATTAAGTTAGTAGTTTTTAAAAATCGGCTCAAAAAGAGCCGTTTAACAACACTAATAGTGATTTGACACTAATAAAGCATATAATAAAAGCGAAATTTAAAAATAGGGTTTGGTTTTTAACCCCCCCCCCCCCCCCATGGATAAATCATGGCTACGCCACTAATAATAATTAACAAATTACTTGTTCACTTCGTTAATAAAAATATTTATATATATTTAAAAAAAGCAAAATCGGCTGCAATAAAAATATGGTGTTTGGAAACGTAGATCTCTTAAGTTTTTTTTGTTTTCTTTGAATTAAAATGACCATAGGCATATTTATAGTGACTTTATATCACTTCTATATTATCTTTTACATAACTTAGATTGGTTGAAGTGTGTATAGTAATGTTTACAATTTTACAGTATGTTTTTTTAATCTTGGAAAACACGAGAGAGGGGGGTCCTTTTATAATACTTCATAATTATTAATAAGTGGCGTAATTAGACCCAACTCGTTGTAGTGAGGGGGGGGCAGAAAGAGATAAACTTTGAAACTAAAACTGACCATTTTTATTACCAATTAAAATCTATGTTCTTGGTGCTAGAACCTCCGAATTCTTATTTGATAAGCTTAAAAATATTTAGAATTACGAACCTGGACCAAATTTTTCTCTGAAACCGGTTCCAGATCGGGTTGTGGAATTTCAAACTATGGCTAAAATAGTAAGTTTAATAAGAGTATAAATATATTTATATAGAAGTTTTACTGGTTAAAAATTTGAAAAACCATAATCATGTTGGCACAAATGTATTTCTTAATGCACTAAAAGTAAAAACAAAAAACAAGTAAACAACCTATTAGTTTTAACATTTGTTAAAAATTTATCATAAAATTATTAAAATTCCTGAACCTGGTTTCAGGGATAGGATAAACCTAAAAATTTTGGGATCCAGGTAAGGGAAAAAGAGTCCCATACTGGGGGTTAAGAACTCTGATACTTTTTATGGAATATTTATGAAAAAAATGTGGAGGGCAAGTTCTCATTCCTTGGCCAGCAGCTCATGCACCCCTAGCTAAAATATATACTATGCAGAGGGAGCCCAAACATCAATAAAATATAGGTCTGGCCCACATTCACCAAAATATTCATGTCATATTCCATTCCCATCTCTGATTAAACAAATTTCCCAATTTAAGCTTAAGCTAAACCAAATGGTGAAATTTATTTGAGAGTTAAAAGCAGCAGAGGTTAAACATCCCTACTGTATTATTTTTAAAACAGGCCATGCTACTAAGAATATACCTTGGAAGGTAAATATCCCCCATATCCTCCCAGACCCTATATATGCAGTCTAATTTCTTCTATCATCCAGATAAGAAAGTTTTTAAAAAAATCTGGAGGTGGGAAATATTTATTATTTTTGCACGAACCCAACCTGAACCAATATTTGTTACACTTATGGCTGGATGGTTACAGTCAGAAAATTATTGATTCATTACTGTATAATGGTGTAGTAATACAACTACTAATTTATAAACAATATGACTACTAATTTATATTTCAAACATCAAATTTTTATTAATTAATTTTCGAATATTCCATTCTATTTTTATATATAAATATCTATAAATAATATTTTATTAATTTATTACATTTTCTTCAAACATTTTAAAGTTAGATTTATTCGATAAACCACTTTATAGGTTTACGGTTTCTAGATGAACAACGTAATGTGGTATTTGTATTTGTGTTGCTTCATTCACTGGCACAACCATTTCTGTAACTTCCAAAGAACTTTCATGATTTGGGATAACTAAACGATTTCTTAACTGATCTGCATGCTTCCGTAATGTTTTCTCGTAAGATTCAACAATATAAGAATAAAGTCCTATTCTTTCTTTAATTACTCCCTCTCTCCAACCATTGGTATTTTCATTATTTAACCATACAGGTTGTGAGATTTCAAATTCTCTTTCCTTTGAATGTAAATCATGATGAAGGCCCTTTCTATCATTGGCCTTTACTATTTCGTGTTCGGCATTTGGTCGGATCCAATCCAGACTTGTTTTTAATTGCCTCCCAAACATAATTTTAGCAGGAGATCTCCCTGTGGAGCTATGGTAGGTTGTTAAAACCTGCGTCATAGCTTCTTCGGGATCGCTAATTGAATCTCTCGTCGCATAATACCGACTTTCAAAGTTTGTACTGTACGTTCAGCTAATCCATTAGTTTTTGGATGATAGGGTGCCGAACGTATATGACGTATGTTATTAATATCACAATGGAATTCCCCAGATAAGAATTGTGGTCCATTGTCTGACACAATGTACTTGGGTATTCCAAACCTAGCAAACCATTTTTTAGTCGTTCTATCATAGCATAGCAGAGGTATTCTGCATTAGATCTAGAGTAGGAATCGACACCAATTAGCCTATATCGCGAATCTACTGGTCCAGCAAAATCAATATGGATTCGCTCCCAAGATTCCTTACCAACAGTCCAAGAATATAGGTTATCTTGAATACTAGGTCTATTTTTCTGGCAACCAGAGCATATTTTGATAAAATTTTCTATATCAACATCACATCTGGGCCACCAATAGGGACCCCAGTTGTATTCATTATTACCACTGTTAGGGTCCTCCTTGTCTGTGATCCAATCCTAACATTGACTTGGGTCTCGCCCTTAACGTCTAACTGATGATCATGCAGTTAATAGACTGGTTGGCCTAATTTTTGGTGGTCTAATACTTGTCCATATATCAATTCCTATCAATGACGCTTGTGCACCAGTGTCAAAATCAAATTCAACATCTAACTCATTTATCTCTGAAGTTAGTTTTGCTCGATTCTATCAATATCTTCCTAATATTATGAATAGAATCACTTGATGACACTCTTATATAATTTAAATTCTTTGATTTACAGCAAACTGCAAAATGACCAATTTTTTTACATTTATTACATGCCGCATTTGTAGCTAGACATCTCACTTCTCGGTTATGAATAAAACCACATTTATAACATTTAAGTTTATTATAATCTTTATCAAGGTTATTATTATATTGGTATTTATTATTCTCTTTATCAAATGTATTATTATACTTGACTTTATTATAGCCTTTATCAAACGTAGTCGTTTTAAATGGATTATATAATTATTATCATTTCTTTTGTTATTATCAATTATTTTATTAACAATAGGCATATTTTTATTTGCCATTTCTTTATCTGCTCGCTCAGAAGCTAATGCCAGATCAAGAATAAATTGGAAAGTCAGTACATTATTATCTCTATCAAGACCGTCGGAATATAGAGCTCTAAGATCTCTTTCCAATCCCAGTATTTCCATGCCAACCATAAGCTGATCACGTAAATGCTCGTCAATATCATTAAGATAATGACAACGCTTGCCAATTGTTCTAATTTTATCTGCAAATTCAGTTATGGTTTCAGTTGTTCTCCATAATCTAACGAAATCAAATCTAGAAGCAAAAGCTGTTGACGTCGGTTTAAATAATTTAAAACATATTGACTTAATTTCCTTAAAAGATAGTTTCGATCGAATCAGGATAACAAAAACGGTCCACCAACTCAATATTCTTATTGCCAAAAAATGTTAAAAATATATCTTTATATTGACATTCAGATGGGCTTACGTTTTTTAATCGAAAACTGGCTTCCCATTGGGAAAAATATCTATAGATTGAAGTATCCAACTCGAATTTATCAAATTTAATCGTAGATAAATCCGCTATTTTTTTTGAATCTCCATTTAAGGAATTATTTTCTCCATTTATTGTCGCATTTGTAGTAATACAACTACTAATTTATAAACAATACACTACTAATTATATTTATTTTATTTCAAACATCAAATTTTTATTAATTAATTTTCGAATATTCCATTCTATTTTTATATATAATATGTATAAATAATATTTTATTAATTTATTACGATGGTTTAGTTTACTTTGGGTTTCCTAATGAATAAACTAGTAACAAATATTTAAAAATATCAAAATTACCCCCTCTCCTCAAAAGTATAAAGGGGGTTCGTTCAATAATCCAAAAAATCAGATTTTCCTCCAAGAATTTTACTGACACAGTCCTGCATCTTCTACATACCTAAGAATTTTACTAGCAATCCTGCCTTCCAATGGTAAATGCTACTGCCCCTCCCCACAATTTAGATAACTGTACTCCATTTTAGTCAGATCAAATTTTATTAAAAAAATATACAACGCATGACTAATAAAATTTATCACATATGTAGAATTTATACAAAAATATATGCCTGATAAATTTATTACTTATTTGAAGCAAATAATATATCACGATAATTTATATTTATTTTTCTTTGATTGTTTTTTAGCAGATGTTTCTTTTGGGGATTTATCAAGAGCAGACAATTCTTTAATAACATTTTTAGATAATGAAGATGGATTGAGTAATGACTGTGAAATTAAGTTGTCAGCAGTTTTATGAGTTAAATCATTAGGTTTGGTCAAATGAATGGCTTTATAACTTATATAAAGTAGGGGTACAGAAATATAAGTGGATAATTTTGAGGTAATTTCAGGATCCTAGATTAAGCTATTAGTTTTTATAATTTGTAAATTATATACTTGAGAAGCAATCCAATAATGAGATGGATTTCCTTTTTTAACCATACTTAACAAGCATTTATTAGCTGCTATTGATTTGTCTACATGATCACATGTTTTAATTTTATATTGCTTGGCAATATGAAACGCTCCATAAACAGGTTTACCTTAAATTTGACTTTGTAAGATGTACTATATATTAAATTATACCTAGATTGTTTAATTCATGTAATATACAAGAGGTAGTATAAAACGTAATTTGGCCATTTAAATATTTAGGAAGTTGTTCTTTGATATTTATCTGATTTGTTAAAGCTGCCTGGCAAAAGGTCCCATCTAACAAGACTTGAAAAGGTTCCTTAAAGTTGTAACTACGCTTATAAAACTTTACAATTTTTTTAGAATTTTTTTGTCTCTTTATTTTCATGGGATGATATAGCACGTCTGCCGTGTAATATATTTTATGGTAATGCACATTAATCGGACCTGACAGTATGTAGCTATTTATTCAAAGCTTCGCTTTGGCATAGGGCAGTGTCCCCGATCATTAGGAAAGGGGGAGGGGGTATAATGCAAAATATTATGCATATAGATCGGGTCTTATATTCAATATATGTATTTTAGATATAATTTAAATCATGCCATTTTTAAAATCGACCCGAAACGTGCTTTTTTACAACGCTAGTTAGTATAAATTAGATGCCAAAGAATACTATCTAAAACAGATAACCTGATGTTTGAACCTAAATAATCCTTAGATAAATTAATTAAACACAAACAAATACATTCAGACCTACATTTTGAAGATATTAGGTACATGTTGTAAGGTTCTTATAAATATGGTATATTATTTTTATTGTTTATTTATAATAAGGTAAGGACAATCGTAATATCATAATTGGTATTAGCATAAGCATATTCAAATATGTTAATATAAATAAAACATCCACCATTACAATAATTATACGTATGTTTTCGAAACAATTATTTAATTTCTGGATTGGTCCCTTAGTAAATGTTTGGAATAGATCCATGGGCTGGGGTTAAACCTGTCATACGTCCCGATTTATGTTGCGCCCACCCGCTTAAGGAATTTCCGACCCGCGGGAATAATATAAATAAATATCCCGTCCAAAATGATTATAAATTAAACACAAAATATAAAATAATTATCCGCATATTTTATCAAATTTCTGCCATTCGTTTTTTGCTATTTTATCAAAGTTAAGAAATTAATTCTGTAATAATACCAATGTTGAAATATTAATGATTATTGTCGTCTATTGTTCTAATTTGTTAATAAAATCAGACTTCTTCATGCACCCCTCCCATCCCCTCCTCCTAGATTAGAAGTCTATAGTTATGTATAATCATTCTATTTAATTTTATTTTTATATAACCTTATATAATTATTTTAATTTAGTATTGAAAACCTTTTATGCTTTAATTCTAATTATTTTATACAATATGATATGTCAATTTATTTTAGGAATTTTGAAAATTTGGTAAAATAATTTTGGCTGAATTATAAATGATTTAAAAGGAATTTTTAAACTTGAGAAGAGTAAATGTTCGAATAATATATCTTTGATTTTTTAACATCTTTATTGATTTTAATTTAATAAATTTAGCCGGGCCCATCGCATTCTGGGTTTATATTCGCCAGGATCTCATATCTATGGCTATCTACACTGTGTCCAAATTGAACTGATATCCTTTTTGTTTTGGCAATAAATCTGCCTAAAAAAAATTCAATAAAATTTTGTGTATTGACAGAGGGAAAATTATTATGTTTTCTTTAAATTTCAATCAAAAAAGTCATTCACATTCAAAGTTAAACAAATTCGAACTTTCCAACATGTAAAAGAGAAAAAAAAATTTAAACTGCACTTACTTACTAAAAAAATATGGTCATAATATCATCATTTCCATTTGAGCAGACAGATAAAACAAAGTGGTTTTCAGAAAGATGACGTGGATTTGAGTAAAGTTTTAAGACAAAAAAACATTATTAAACGAATTTCCTAAAAAAAACTGGTCTATAGCAGCCTTGAATCAAATGATTGAAACATTGATGTTATCGGTTCAGCAGAAAAACGGCTTGGTGGTGGTAGACCATACATAACTCGTTCCATGGAAAATGTTGATTCTGCTGAAACACTCGTGATCGTGAATAGCCAAGAAGTCCAGCCTGGCACCCACAGAAATTAGTAAAGTATATCTAGAAACTGGTATTTCGCGAACTTTAGTGCATCAGATAATCCACAAAGGCTACGACTAAATTTTTTAAAAAGAAACAAGCCCAGGACATAACCAAGAATAAGATTGCAGTACCAAACAACTTTTACCAAAATACCCTTAGATATATTTGAAGTGGATTCCAATAAGACAAGTTGCAACCAAACGATTGCTTAGTAGTCGTTCAAATTTCTCTAAATCTGTTATGGTTTCAGTCCTCAAGTTTTGGCTGCACAAATCGTCTCGATCCATTAAAGAATTTTCTCGTAGTGAATTTTGCATATTCCAGCTGGAGAGTGCTCTAGCTCACTAGAGAAACAGTGGATCAGCTTTCAAGGGAAATATTTTATTTCCTCCACTCCTTGGTCTCCCAATGGACCTGATCTTAATTAGCAACTACAAGATATGAAGAGTCCTTCAAGAACATGTTTATTAGACTCGAATGCGCGATCTTACCCATTTCAAACATCGACTTGTGGTGGAATGGAATCGTTTTGATCAAAGAATTGTTGATAGTGCAATAAATGAATGGCAAGATCGCTTTAAAACATGTATCCGAGCTAATGGCAGACATTTTGAACATCAACTATGAAGAATTACATTTTGCTCAAATTAATTTTAAATGTTGATGTTCATATATTTTTGTCGAATTATTAAGTTTAATAAAAAAACATAATAAAAAATAAATATTTACATGTTGGAAAGTTAAAATTTTATTTGTCTAACTGTGAATGTGATAACATTGGACCCTGTTCCTAGAATTTGGTGGAATTTTCTGAAAACATTGATAATTTATCCCTTTCTCAGTCTATAAGTTATTAAAAGAATTGGCATATTTATTGCCCAAGCAAAAAAGGTATCAAATGTATTATAATTTCACGATTTCGTTTATAACATATCTCCATTTGTAAATTTTGATTAATATCAAGTCCTAATTCCATTTTGATCAATTTTACAGGAGAGGAATTTGTAAAAATACTATATCCTCTGATTAAAATTATAGGAACAAGTGGAGTTTCAAAAAAAACTTATAATAGCCAAGTTACGATATCTTCTTAAATCAACACGACCCGGTCCGAACCAACCCGTCAATAATTTTAAAAAGTTTTTCAGTCCTGCACTTAAAATTTTTGAATACCTGAGTAATGTTTTGGCACAGGTTGTCCTATTTGTTAAAAGGAAATAATAAATTTGCATTCAGAAAATTTTTAAAAATTGTTGCACAAATTGTCAGGACTTATCCGAAAAAAATAATTTTCTCAATATTTCTATTTTAGTCGTTATTAAAATTAACAAGTTATTTATTTTTTTGAATATAGTTTATAATGGGTAAAGCCAGTTGTAATCATTTTGCGGGAAAAGGAGGGCGAGGAAGTGTTATTAGGTAATTTATTTTAGTAGCTCAAAATGATATTAATGAAAATTGGGAAATAATTAAAGGAAGATTATCTGAATTCCCTCCTCCCACCTGATTACGCCAATGATGGAATATATTCTTAAAAAAGAATTGAATGCTCCAAATATCTCTAAAATATTTGGTTGATGTGTTAATAAAATTTTAGCTTATTAATAGGTTTTTGCAAACTTATGTATGTCAATAGGTTTCTACGTATGATGCTTATTATACATTAATGGCACCCAGTGGCGTTTCCAGGATTTCATGGTACTGTCCAAAAAAGCATGTTAAATCCCCAAAACGGATCCCTTAAATAAACCACTAATTTAACTCCTCCTTCGCTTAGAAAAAGAAGATAATTTTATGATTTATTTAATTTTATACATAGATGGAACTTTTACAAAATATAATATCGAAATAAGTATAATTTTACCAAATTTCAATCAACTGAACATACGTTTTAACAACAAAAAATTAAAAGCTTGCTTTTCACTTTAAGATGGTTATAATTTATCTCTATATATAATTGTAATTTATAAACCTTTTATAAGAAACTATTTAATTGACAGTCGGGGGTGGTATGAGTAAGTATATGCGTGGGTTTTTTTAAATGTATCATTTTATAATCGGAAACGAAATTATTAATACTGGAATAATTGCTTCAAAAACTTTTATAAGGTTCTATCTAAGAATACCAAAGTAAAAAAGATTTTGAAAGAATAAAATATGGAGTTTCGCAAGAAAAATTTATGCTGAACAATCAAGTCATTTTATCAAAGTAATTCATCTGTTAATAAGTAAAGTATAAAACAAATATGATTTATAATCTATTACTAATCTAACAAAGTAAAATATGCTTAAATATATTAATAAATAATGAATTATTTCTATTCCACCACCAATAAAAATTTAAAAACCATTCAATAAAAGAATTTTTTTAAATATAATTTATTTCTTATCGGATTGATACAATTATTTTATAAATTTCTTTTTTTTTCCTTTTTTTTAAAAATTTTTTAGTAAGTTTTAATTTTAAATTATAGTATACATTTAAATCATAATTTTAATTATTGACGGAAACATGTGTTATCTCTTTAGACGATTTTCCCCATCTCCCGTGCAATAATTAAAAATACCATTTCCTGATTTTTCTATTTAACAAATGAAATTAAAATAATAAATTTTATAAAAATTCCTGATGTTTCTTTCTGTTTAAAAACTAAAATTTTGTTTTTTTTAATATAAAGAAAAAAGGAAAAATAAGGTATGAAAAAAAATATTTATTAAATTAAATACAAAAATTTTTAAAAATGACCTCTCGTCCTATTTTTCTTTTTCGTAATTTTATTTTTTAGAAATTAAAAAATCATTCTATAAAGTCACTTTGATCTTTCAGCTTTATAAGTATATATTAGATATCAGAAAAGCCCGGACCGAGCCAGGAAAATTTTTAAAAAATATAAACGGGCCGGGAAAAAATTAAAAGAGCCAGGTCGAGCAATTCGCTTGTAAAAAATTTTCGAGAATTTATATCAGAGACCTATAAAACTGTCATTTGCACTGCCAGGCCGGATTTGTTATTTTGACCCGGCCTTCATTTTTTAAAAATTTATTACATTTATTTTTAAATTTTGTAACTAGAACGGGGATTTTAAATATTTGGTTTAAAATATACGGGTATTTTTTAAAAAAGATTTAGTCCCAGCCCGGCCCGGATATTTAAAAAAAAATCAGACCCGGCCCGGTTATATTTAAAAAATAAAAATGATCCGGCCCATGTACTCGGGCCGGGTCTG